GAGGCTGAGCCCTCCTGGCCCGGCCGGGCCGGGGAGGGGGGAGATTGTTGGGGGGGAATGGGGTGGTGGGAGGGGGGGAGAAGCAGCGCTGTGGAAACGCCTTACAGTTGTCCGGAGCGTGAAATCCGCTCCCGAGGAAATCTCTTGGGTTTGCGGCATTATCTTAATTAAGATAATTGATTCATATTGCACCTGCGAGAGTGCGGGAAAAGGATGCCTCCCCAAATAGCTTAAAGCTATTGGAGAGAGGAAGCCGCGCTTATAATTTAGCGAGTGATTTACTGCCTGAGCAGCCCGGGCTGTTCGCGCTCTTTCCTTTCGCTGTCGCGTTCCCCGCTCCCTCCCTCTCCAGCGGGGCTCCCGCAGAAAGCCCGAGGGGTTATCCTAAACCAAAAATAAAGAAAAAAAAAGAAGGGAAAGTGTCCCTTCCCGCCCGCCCAGTTCCCCGGCCCCGCTCGGCGCGGCCCCTCCATCCCATCCCATCCCGCCGCACGACGGGGCGGCGGGGTTGGTCAGGGCCAGTTAGGGTTTGTGATAACCCAGTTAGGGTTTGAGATAACCCAGTTAGGGTTAGCCCGGGTCCCCCGCTCGCCCCTGGCCCGAAGAGGGGGGGTCGGGAGGAGCGGGTAACCGCACCGCAGGCTGCCCGCACCGCTCCGAGCCACCGGCAGCGAGCTCCGGCTGCCGGGCTGGGACACGGCCGAGGGGGAAAAACGCTTTAAAACACCGCCCGGGTACCGGTTTGGGGCTGGGGTGCGCCTGCATCGCGCAGACTGCTCTCTAGGATAGACGTACAGCTGGGCTCGAAATTGGTACCGATGATTAAGGTGCCTTTCTGCTCTTTTTTTTTTTCCCCTCCCTTCAGATTCAGTGTATTAATTTTATGGAGCTTTTCCCCGTTAGATAAATGCTGTTGTTGTTTTAATTCTATAAATGTAAACTTCTATTTAGTTAATGGAAAATACATCACCACCAAGGTTTAATTATCAGCTTTTTAAATTACTCTTTTAGGCAAGTGCACACAATTAGGAAATCACAATAGATTTAAAATATAATTCAAATTGATTAAAAAAAAAAACACAACAAAACCCGAACAAATCAGAGAAGTACGTATCATTAAAGCAAATGTCTAAATTATATTGGTAGGCCAGCTACCGCCTGAGCTGGAGTTTAAATAACATCAGCGGTCTTTGCTATCAGTGTCAAACCACCTCTGTTATTAAGAAAAAGGATTCTTATCAGACGGGATTTAGATGCTGTTGTAACTGCAAAATCTAATTATTTTTGATCCAGGCATTTACCCCCAGAGTCCCACCTTGTTTAAATAAAGTGTTTTCTTTCCTCTTGAACAAATGCATTTCCATTTGAATTAAATATTGATAATTTGACCTTT